AGAGGCCCGGCGGGGGGCGGGGGGGGCAGCGCACCCTCAGGGCTGAGGGGAGCGGCGGGAAAATGCGGCTTCTCAGTGACGGCCGTCGCGTCCCGAGAGGTGCCCCCGCACCCGTCCCGCAGCAGCGGGCTCCGGGCTGCCCCGGCGCCGGGGGCGACCCTTCCGCAGCGGGTCGGAGGGCACGGTAAGCGCCGTGAGCCAACACCCCTCAGGGGGTGAAGGGGCTGCCGCCGGCGGGAACCCCTCTCCCACCTGAAAAGGCGTTTGCGGGTTCGGCTGCGGGAGTCGGAGGCAAAACGTCAGGTGCGGCGTGTACATACAAACCGACTAATCCGACATCGAGTCGTTTCCTACCGATGCAACCCGCGCCGTCGGCAAGCGCGTTACCCTCGGGGTGCGAGTCGCCGCAGGTCTTGCCGCCTTGCTCGTCCGCCTGAGAGGACTGCGCCAGAAGACCCAGCTCCCTCGGCTTCTTGCAAGTGTTTCAGAGCACCAGCAGCGAGGGGCAGCACAAGAGCCCACCGTGTCCTACAGCTTCGTGCCTTCCTTTGCAAATAGCTGGGCTGTCTATGTGGGTTGCGGTTGGCTGGGTTGGGTTGGGTTTTTCCCCCCCATGAGACTGTCCAACCATTCAAAGACATTTTTCCCAAGATTTTACAGATTTGACTCCTGGGGGTAGAGGGGAAATACTTCAGAATTGTCTCTGACCCTTCGTCACCCAGTGGTGGTTGACCTTAGCCAGCTGCCCACCCAGCTGCTCGCTCACTGCCCCTCCTCAACGGGACAGGGGGAGAAAGGATGGAAAAGCTCGTGGGTTGAAGTAAAGACAGGGAGATCACCTACCAGTTACTGTCACAGGCAAAACAGACTTGACTTGGGGAAAATTAAAATTTTCTTGCCAACTAAAAATAGAGTTGGATGATGAGAAACAAAGACTAAATGAAAACAACACCTTCCCCCCACCCTACCACTTTCCCTGGATCAACTTCACCCCTCCATTTCCAACTCCTCTACCTCCCCACCACCACCCCCCAAGCAGTGCTGAGGACTGGGGGAATGGGGGCTGCAGTCAGTCCACCACAGCTCCTCTTCGCTGCTCCTTCCTCCTCACACTTTGCTCCATGTGGGTTCTTCCATGGGCTGCAGTCCTTCAAGAACTACTCCGTCATGAGCTCCCCATGGGCCACAGTTCCTTCAGAAAATATCCACGTGCTCCATTGTGGGGTCCTCCATGGCCTGCAGCGTGGGTATCTGCTCCACTGTGGTCGTCTCCATGGGCTGCAAGGAAATCCTTGCTCCAGCACCTGCAGCACCTCCATACCCTTCTTCTTCTCTGACCTTGGTGTTCGCACTACTGTTTCTCACTTTTTCCCCTCACTCCTCTTTCTCACACCGCTACATAGTGGTTTTGCCATTCCTTAAATATGTTGTCCCAGAGGTGCCACCGGTGTCGCGGAGGGGCACAGCCGTGCCCTGTGGTGGGTCCGTTGGAGCCGTCTGGCGGTGGCTGTGTCCAACACAGGCAGCCCCGGTCTCTCCTCACAGAGGCCACCCCTGCAGCCCCCCTGCTGCCAGCACCTGGCCACCTGCACCCAATACATACCTGCTTACAAAACTTTGGAGCCATTTTATGTGAAATAAAGGATGGCATTCCTACTGTAGGAGTACAAGAGGAAGAAGAGAGGAGAAGCCCCGGAAAAGTAGCAGAGAAGTGCCCTGCCAGCTGAGCAGGCTGAAAGACTTGCCCTGCTCAGGGCCCCAGGAACAGCAAGAAAGGAGGGAGCAAAACCAATTGGCCAGAAAGAGTTGCTAAGGGAGGGAGTGACCGACACCCTTTTTGGCGTCAGCTGTACTGCAAAACCTCATGCCTGGGCAGGTGTGAAGCCTGCTCTGAGCTTTTGATGCTACAGTTCAAGTCAACAGCTCAGCCAGTGCTACCAACACCACCACAAAGTACAGTTTTACGTCTCAGCTACAATGTGGATTTACTCTATGAGTCACTCCTGGGTTTCTTGGGCACTGACTAGCTGGATCCTGTTCTTTTAGCGAGCCCCTGTGCACCAGCTCTTTCCATGGTGCGTCCTGCTATGGCAGTTGTAGACAGTTTGCAACTGCGGGGAGTCTGATACACCCTCACCTCTTCTAGTTCACTCTTTTGAAGTCTAACAGTCTTCCCAGACCACTGTGTAATTTATACAGATTAGCAAAGTTCCGCAGTCTTTTGGCAGCAAGGCTCTTCTTTCTGTACATCCATTTAAAAAAAAATCATTTTTGATAGAAGGAATAAAAATAACATTTGATACATTTTTGTTAAAAGCTAAAATACCATTTAATTAACCTATGCAAAACCTAAAACTACATTAGCAGAACATTGTTACCTCACTTTAATGGATTATCTGTCATAACGGAGGACTTCATAGTCCATGCGTGTAAAGAGACTTCTCCTACTGAGATGCAGCCAGCTCTAGAATGGAAATACCTCATCACCAATGTCAGTACTGCTTCACAAAGGTATTTGAATGCAAGAGAAGAAAGTAACTTTTACATTTCTAATGAGCAGATGCAAGGCAAATGCAGGTTTCTGAGTTGGGATTTTTCCATGCTGCCATGACCAATACGCTTGTCTTGCAAAATTACCAGTCCCATAAAAATACAGGGGTTTTATGTGGCTACACCTGATCAGGACAGGCTGTAGGTTTTATCTCTTTGTCACAACACAACCTCTCAAGCTCCAGGGCGTTTCCCAACACCAAAGCACCAGAATATTTATTCCAGACCAAATTAATATGACTTGTGATTTATGAGCACATGGCTTCTTAAGAAATTGCAAATGCCTAGTTCAATTCTTCATTCTCTATTCATATGCCAGCCAGACCCAACCCTCTTGGCTCCTGAGATTTGATACAATCATAGCCTGAAGTGTAGTAATACAAGATTGCAATAATATCATAGTTGCTACCAACCATTATTATACTTACTTTAATTTCAACAAACTGCTGTAATTAGTGACTTCCCTCGTAGAGATGTTGTGAAATATATCTAATTACAGTCTAATACAGAACTTTGTGATTCCCAGGCAGTAGTTTCTAGGTAACTGAAAAATAAAACATTTTCATTGTAAAGGTTATATTCTAAAGGATTTGGTGAAAGAGACTTGCCACATCCATACCTTCCGGGCACATGCAGCTCACAAGAGCCTTTCAGACCTCCACTGTCCTTCCCAGGAGGGCAGTGATTCTGTTTCAGCAAGAGAAGTCCTTCTCAAGCAGATGGGCAAGGCATGTGCATGGGCTGTGTCTCTGTAAGGGCTGGCTTTTATCCCCACATAGCTTTGTAGTGCCTGTTGACCCGCAGGTAAGAAGATCCTAACTCCCTTTCCTCCTTCTCTTGTTTGACACTCTTGCACATCACCCCAAAGGCACAGGGAGGGAGGTGTTCTCAGGAAACATTGGGACCTGTGTCCTGCTTTTGGCTGGGATAGAGTTAATTTTCTTTCTAGTAGCTGGTATAGTGCTATGTTTAGGATTCAGTGTGAGAAGAAGTTGGTAACACCCTGATGTTTTCAGTTGTTGCTAAGTAGTGTTTAGACTAAGTCAAGGATTTTTCAGCTTCTCCTGCCCAGCCAGCAAGAAGGCTGGAGGGGCACAAGAAGTTGGGAGGGGGCACAGCTGGGACAGCTGACCCAAACTGGCCAAAAGGGTATTCCATACCACGTGACGTCATGCCCAGTATATAAACTGGGGGGAGTTGGCCACTGGGGGGATTGCTGCTTGGGAACTGACTGGGCATCGGTCAGCAAGTGGTGAGCAACTGCATTGTGCATCACTTGTTTTGTATATTCCAATCCTTTTAATTATTATTGTCATTTTATTAATGTTATTATTATTATTAGTTTCTTCCTTTCTGTTCTATTAAACTGCTCTTATCCCAACCCACGAGTTTTACTTGTTTTTCCCCAATTCTCCCCGCCATGCCACTGCGGGGGGGGGGG